AGCAGAGTTGATTACTTACACGATCCAGCCATCTTTCCATATCCTCGACTTTGCGCTGAAGAGTATGTGCTTCATATGCTTCGCGGAGTCGTTGCGTCTTCAGAGCTGACTTTGTGCGCAATTCATCCCAACCGCTTCGCAATTCGCCAAGTTGTGCACGGACCTAAAACAGTGCACGTAAAATATAATCACTTAGGAGGAAAATTAACTTGGAATTTCTTATGGAAATTCTGTGCACTAAGCACTTTTTGGTTTGCTAACCTGTTCTTTCATGAAATGCTTTTCTTTGATCAGTTGTTCACCCTGCGCTTCGACTGCCACAAGTCTTTTTTCATTCTCAGTCAGTTCTGAGTCGAAAGCCAAATGTTTTTGCAGTTTCGATCGAAGATTCGTAGGATCAAGGTAGGACTCATCATATGCAAGCTAAAATAGGGGATATAATCAAGAACGCATAAATTACGAAAATTTATAGACGCACCTGCAATTTGGCATTGATCCAAGTAATGAGTTCGCCACAGGTACGGATAAATTCATGGTATTTTTTGCTGTCGCAAAGAAGCATGCGCCTCTTTGAAGACGACTCCAGCATACCAGCATGGCGCTGGAGTACTTCCTCGCATCTTGAAAATATGGTGATAATCAGAAAAAGTTGTGCCAAAAGGGAACATTAAAATTCTTACCTTGCCGCCACATCTCCACGATATTCATTATCACTAGCCATTAGCTTATTAGCATCAGCTTTCAGACTCTCTAACTTCTCACTCTGCTTCTTCACAGTCTCTTCAAAGGCGTCATGCGATTTAATTAGCAGCTATAACACAGTATCATAGACTGAAGATCATTTAAAATCAAAAAAAAAGGAAAAAATCACGCTCGCAAACTTCTAAGAAGGAAGGAACTGTCACCAACACCATACCTGTACAGCATCGGGAGTATCACCAATATCGCCTTGCTTGAGCACATTTTCTTTGTCAGCCAACCATCTTTCACACATAGCGGCTTGGTCGCACCATTGCAGCCACTCCAATGTTCGTTGAAGAGAGGCCTAAATCAGTATGGATTTTGAGCAATAGAAAAAGTGAGCAAGAAA